TGATGTTCTAAAAACCCAACGTATTAGCATTTAATTACATTTTAAGAAAACAAGCAAGCTTGACTGCCTCAGTTTTTGCTTACTGATTGTTGCTTCAAGAATAGTCAAGGCTGTATTTGGTCCATTTCTGGTTGAGTGATTGTTTGTTTATTTTTTTTATTTTTTTGCAATTGATAGAACTCTTAGAAACCATGTCAGTTTCTAATAGAGTAGTGAAAAAATTGATGTTACCTGTGTATGAAGTGATGATAAAATTTGGGTTGCCATACCCAAAAAGTTAGATCACACAGAGTAGGCCTCCTCCGGGTTCCGTCTACTAGCCAATGTCAGCTGGCTACTACCCGGGGGGAGGGCCTTCTCTGTGGCGGCTCCGGCCCTTTGGAACGAAGTCCCCGCAGAGATTCGGACCCTCACCTCTCTCCAGGCCTTCCGAAAAGCCGTTAAAACCTGGCTGTGTCGGCAGGCCTGGGGTCGATGAGTTCCCTTCCCCTCTCGAATCGTGTGGCTGTTTGTGTTTTAAATTCCCTTGTATTTTTTGTTGTAGTTCTTTGTGTTTCCCTTTCCCTCCCTTGGGTTTGTGCGCCGCCCTGAGTCCCGCTGGGAATAGGGCGGCATATAAAGAAAATGAACCTTGAACCTTGAACCTTGTGCAATCAGATATGACATTGGCAGCCGTTTTAAGCCACGCTTCCTTGCCAAGAGAAGAAGAACTTAATTAATCTTAAATTAAATAGGAAAAAGGGGATTTTTTTACCAGGCCAAGGGTGAAAACAGACTCCTTAAACTCATTTTCCTCCTTAAACTTATTCTTCAGGCATTTTGGAGGTTTTGTATTGTGTCCTCATCGAAAGTCCAGAAGTGCTGAATATCATCCAGGAAAACCACATCAAGTCCATCATCTCCCTCCTGGACAAACATGGACGCAACCACAAGGTGGGTTGCGGTGAGCTTGACTCGTCCTTGCGGTTTTCTTCGGGGGGGGGGGGGCGCCTAGATTTTGTGGCAAGCAACGTTGGATACAGGCGGTGAAAGCTTGTTGCCTGAGGACTTCAACTCCCAGAATTCGTGAGCCAGTGAGGAATTTTGGGAGCTGAAGTCCACAGGGGGTCATATTACATAGTTGCTCGTCCCTGCCTTAAATTCTGCTCCGTGGAGTAGCTGCTTCTCGGCGTATCGTGAGGATGAAATTCATTCTCATTCCTCAGTTAGGTCCCTATTTTTTCTCTAGGGCCTTTCTGGAACCCTAATGACCAAAGTTCATGGAATCCTGAGGCAAGGACTAGGGTTGGGGTGTCTAGTGAGGACTAGAAAGCTCCCTTTCAAACTTTCAAACCTATTAGATTCAATTTGATTCTATTCGATTCTACACTACACTACACCACACTCAACTCTACTCTACATTCTACTATACTCCAGCACAGCCCAACTCATCCCAACCCATCCTAACCCAACCCCACTCAACTCATTTCAACCCAACACAACCCACCCCAAAACAGCCCATCTCAATTCATCCTAACTTAAACCAACACAATACAACCTGTTCCAACACAACCCACCTCAACACAACACAACCTATCCTAACCCAACCCAACTCATTACAACCCGTTCCAACACAACCCACCTCAACACAACACAACCCATCCTAACCCAACCCAACTCAACTCATTTCAATCCAACCCAACTCACCCCAAAACAACCCATCTCAATTCATCCTAACTTAAACCAACCCAATACAACCTGTTCCAACACAACCCACCACAACACAACACAACCCATCCTAACCCAACCCAACTCATTCCAACCCGTTCCAACACAACCCACCTCAACACAACCCATCCCATCCTAACCCAACCCAACTCAACTCATTTCAACCCAACCCAACTCACCCCAAAACAACCCATCTCAATTCATCCTAACTTAAACCAACACAACACAACACAACCCATTCCAACACAACCCACCTCAACACAACCCATCCCATCCTAACCCAACCCAACTCAACTCATTTCAACCCAACCCAACTCACCCCAAAACAACCCATCTCAATTCATCCTAACTTAAACCAACACAACACAACACAACCCATTCCAACACAACCCACCTCAACACAACCCATCCCATCCTAACCCAACCCAAC